TACATAATTTCACTTTCCAGTCTGATGTCAGATTATAAATTTTTTTACATTCACTGATCTCATTTGATTCAGAAGATGACTGGGTTGTTAAAATGACATTATCTAATTGATCTCCCCCCCTTTTTATATATGAGGAAATTAAAACCTGAAAAAGATGCTTAAGGTTCAACAAGAGGTCAGTGACAAAAGTCCAAACAAAAATACAAGTTCCATTATCATAATACTTTGTTAAGGAAGTTGGCTGCATTGCCCAATTGTGTCCATTCATCTCTTTGCACAGCATCGGAACTCTATCCTTCTAAAATGATTATCAACCTGAAAAGTAATGGAATAACTGAGAGTAAGCTGCTAATCCGTGTTTTTGGCAATGGGGAAACAAAAATCCAATCAGAATGAAAACTGTTAAAACCTAGCCTATAACAGCAATAACTTAAACATTTCCCATATTTCTAAATCTCAGTCTCCATTTTCTGAACTTCCCAAGTTCATTTTCTGAACTACCTTAATGCAAGTCTGTCAATTAGCTGAGTGCTATCCTTAAAACTCATGCTATCCAAACACACTGTTTCAGCATGAGTCGACTCACAGCTCCTGCTGTACAGTCAAAAGCAATGGGTACATCCTTGCAGGAGGATGATTTCACAAGGAGGTTATCCGAGCTTTAAGTGTAGAGCTATGACCATTCCTCCCTGGGTTATGGCTTAGCCTGGTTGTCTGTGGTCATGGATCCCACCCACTAAGTATGCATCCTCTGAGATGAGATGACCTCGTTTTCAGACACAGCTACTAAAAGTACATGTCACATACAGGTAATTCTCTACCTCTAAGAGATCAGAAATACCATTCTTTGGCTTCAGACTTTTAAATCTTGAGTGCTATTTCTTAGATAATAGAACCAGAGATTCCTAGGCCATTTTTTCTTTTCCAAATTTTATCATGGAAATTTTCAAACATACAGACAAGTTGAAAGAAGAGCATGACAAACACCTATGTACCCACCATGAAATTCAACAAGCGTTAATATTTTGCATACTACTTTATCTTTAATATGTTTTAATACCTAAAACTTTCACTAAGAAAACTCTACAAAAGAGGCTTACTCAGATTCTCTGAATGACTTCCCCTCCAGCCCCCTCATCCCTGCCAATCTTTGTGCATCTCAACAGAAGAAGCATTTAAGCCCTTAAAGGATTTTACCTTGAACATGCATGACATTCGGCCCAGAGGACTTGTTCTACCTAATTTATTGGTCACTGCCTTATATTTAAAGTCTTCCTTGAACCAGCTTTCTATGTCTAGGTCTTCATAATTGCCTTTCAGTTCTCCTTATTCCGACTGATGAACCTTGCCCGTACCAACTTCTTTGCAATGATCGTGTCTGTGCCCCGGATTCCACACAGCAAAAATCATCCCTTAGTAAACTGGGAATGGTGTGACTCTCAGAACCTAAAGATGCATCTTCCATAGATGACTCAGGACTGCTGTTCTCTAGGGCTTTATTCTATCAGTCAAAAACAAAGTCTGGGGCTTCCCTGGTGGCGCAGTGGTTGAGAGTCCACCTGCCGATGCAGGGGACACGGGTTCGTGCCCCGGTCCGGGAAGATCCCACATGCTGTGGAGCGGCTGGGCCCGTGAGCCATGGCCGCTGAGCCTGCGCGTCCGGAGCCTGTGCTCCGCAACGGGAGAGGCCACAACAGTGAGAGGCCCATGTACAAAAAAAAAAAAAAAAAAAGTCTGTAGCTATGGATCTAATGCAAGCTGTTTCCATATCACTTTTCTTTACCTTCTTTTTTTTCCCTTGCACTCTCTCAGGTGATTTCTACTATTCTTTATTTCCATTTGCCAGTACGTAAGGAGTAGGACAGAATGATAATGAAGAGCAACATCTTTGTATTCAAACTATTATACTTTCCGGTGCCGTAGCTGTGTAACTTGGTACACAAGTTCCTTAATTTCTTCATGTAAGACAGAAAAACAAACCAACCAACCAATAGCGCCCAGTTTGTAGGAATAAAGTCAATTTTAAATGAGATAATATAAGCAATGCTCTGGCACAGTGACACGTACAGGCTAAGTCCTTTAATGCGTACTAACTACTAATATTAATACTATTACTATTCTAAACGCTGTTTGAATGCAGCCACTATTGAACATAGAAACAAAATAAATTTGTTAGCAGACCATCAGTAACAGAGAATGACTGGGGTAGAAGAGTGGGTAAGTAGGAGAAGGAACTAAGTAGATCTGAATCAATCCAGCAGCAGCAATTTTAATTGAATTCCTTTTACTTTTTATTGCAAATGAAACTTCCGCTGCTGAAAAGGAATATCTGGCTTGCACTAAATTTCAGCTGTGAAATAAACTGTTCTATTTATCAGTAAAAACTGGAATGGGATATTTACAAATTTCCTGAAAAACCTCTTATCAATTTCAAACTCAGGATTAACTACACAACTGAGAGAACAATCACAATCCATGAGTCTTCTTCTTCCTCCAGGAGTGTTAATTTTATGCACGTCAGATGTGTTCAGGAACCTGCACATTTTGCCATTAGCCCTTATTGGAAGTGGGGCTGAGAGGGTGATAATTTACAGTAATAGTGTCCAGTTGGTCTTAATGACAAGAATGAACAGCCACCACCTTTTTTTGTCTGATTATTGGCTTAATGATTAGAAGCCATATTTATCATCTATATTGGCCCTCTCTTGTCCCTCTCAAAGACTTGATTGTTGATTTTTTCCCACCCATCCAACTTTGCACATGTACATTCAGAATTCATTGACAATCTTTACTGAGTTTATTTACAGTGTAGGTGCTTTGTCAGTGCTAGGTATAACAAAGAGAACACAACTGGTTCTCTGGTCTAAATGTGGGTATCACCAAAAAAAGGAAAACACAATGTAATGTCTACATGATTGCTGTGAAGATTTGATGGGAAAAATGTATCCAGCACTGGGTCTGATGCTTAGCCAAGACTTGCTACTTCCCAGGCCTCTTCCCGCTCACTCCCTGCCAAATGAGTAACTTACTATTTCTGTGCTTCTCTCTGCCTTCTTCAGGATTCTGACTTCTTTCTGTGCTTAACTCTTAAAACGTGTGAACTACAACCTCTTTGCATTCCTCCACTGCCCATGTGGTCCCCATCTCATCAAGGTCTTTGTGATACCATATTTTCATTGCAGCCACTATTGAACATAGACACAAGCAATAAATTGTAGTGGATTCCAAGCAATAAGTTTAGCACAATGTATCTGCTAAGATAATTCTTTCCATAAGTACTTTCAAATTCCACCACTTTGGTGGAGTCTTTGCAGACACTGCCAGTCAACTTATTTTATCTTTCCGCTATTTCTATTTTTCCCTAAGGCCTGTATGTGAGCAGTGCCTGTATCCAATTCATCTCTTTACTTCCAATGGCTGACACAGCGTACAAACATGCTCTCTCTTGGCCTCAGTCCCTCCTTCCCTTGACAAACAAATGCCATTTTCTCTACGAACAGGATAAACAAACAAAGAAGCTGGCTTATAAGGATCTAAGACAGTGCACCAGTCAGGAACGATGAACACAGCAGATAATGAAAATTAGATATAACAGATAAGAAAAGTGTGGGAGTGAGAGGCAACCTACGGTAATGGTTAGGAGCTCTGGCTCTGAACTTAGAACAGGACTCAGATCCCATCTTCACTGCTTACTTTCTCTGTGATCTTAGACAAGTTACACCAGCCTTCATTTGAAATAAAGATCATAACAGTTTTAACTTATGAGGTTGTTATAAGTTATTGTAACTGTAATGATACATGGAGTGTACTCACTAATGTCTGACCCCTAAGAAGTGTTCAATAAATGAATAATATTATTATCATTATTATGAAAAAGTCACCACATGTTCACGTAAACAGAATATATCAGAGACAACTGAACATTTCAGAATAGAGAGTCTTCCCCAATAATGGAGAGGAATTCTTTACATTGCAATGTTTTCAGAGTAAGACAGATATCTTATTTCTTCATCTTTTTTTCCAGGGAATCATCTAATACAAAATAAACTTTAAAAGAAGACACTGTCATATTTCACAATTCATCCTCCAAAGAGCAGAGCATCACAATTCTTCTCTGATAGGAAGGTACATTTAATAGTGTAAATTCATTATTAATAAACCTGAGATGATGGCTATTTATCTGCAAGTCTGATTGCTCCTTGGAGGTAAGAGGGCAAAAAAAGCCTTCCTGTTCTCAGAGGACCAGACCCAGTTCATAGAGCTCAGGAACAATTTATGAAACAGAATATCTGCCACATTCAAACAAGGATTTGGCACTCATAATTTTTTTCCACTTTAAAGAGACCCTGTGTCTAAGCTATTTTGATATTGTTTATCCCTACTCCTTAAAGAAAGCAGCTTTATGAGCCAAAAAAAATATTGTTTTGCCCTTCAGTATAAATAAACATTTTGCCTCCTTATTTGTATTTTTCTTGACATAGCTTATTTCAGGCCTCTATCATACCCTGTTTGAACTATTACAAGAACCTCCAAAGTGGCATAATTCCTAAAATTTCTCTATCAACTGAAGGGAAATGTTAATACAAAATTGACAGAAATTTGTTAATGCATCTAATGTTAATAGACAAGGGATATAACTGTGTTATATATATGTGTGTATATATAATATAATATATAAATTTTTCACTTCTTCTGGAAATAAAAAAATCATCACCATTCACGATAAATATTTAAGCGATTAAAAAAAAAAAGAAAGCAGCTTTAGGATCAGCAGCTGATATTGGAAGATAATGCAGAAAAACTTAGGCTCAGCTGGGATAAGTCCCTTTGGAAACATGGAACACTGAGCTCTCAGATGTCTACTGACTAGGAGGTTTAACTGCTTATCAGCAGAATTAAAGGAGGACTAAGAAAAAGAGCACAGTATGCCCCTCCAAAAAAAAAAAAACAGTAACTACTGTGTTCAGGAAGAGTTCAATTTTGAAATGGACGCTACAGACCTGAGGCCGTAAAGGACCGTCCCATCTGGATGCAGGCGGATCATGCGGTTCTTGACAGTCACTCCGTGCACAAACGACTTCTTATCGTTCAGGAAGTAAGTATCCGGCACCCAGAGCTGGTCTGCCACTCTATTGTCCAGAGTCAAGTTTAAAGGTATTACATTATAGGACAGCCTCTTATCTCTCCAAGCTTGCTGGAAGTACATTGTCAAGGTATAATCCTGTGAAATTGAGAAGATAAAAGAAAAAAAGGGTTATTTTGTACATAAATGGACTTGGGAAACAGGCAAACACTTCAGTATTCACAAGAAAATATACACAACCAAATACCAAAAACATATACTATTCGCATATAGGCAAATATTAATTTACTAAACCCATTCTTACTGAGCCCATACTATGTGTCGGGCACCACAGTATATACAGAAGTGAAGAGAGCATATCCTTGTGAAATTTATCATACATCATTCAGGAAGAAAGATGGTAAGAAATAATTATTTAATAATTAATTTGTCTTAAAGTACGGTACCCAGGATTGTTTTAGGTGGAACATAAATACAATTGTAAAAAGTGGTTAATTTATTACAGTAGTAATTATAAGAGTTTATAATGAGAATCTCAATCTGTCTGATCAAAGTGAGTTTCCTAGGGGAGGCGACATTTATACTGAGACTAATGTAGCTTCCCACCTATCTAAAAAATACTAGCTCAGTTAGTATTTCATGAGAATTTTTGGGATTCTGGATCATCAGGCTAGGCTCTTTCATTTTGAGAAACTGTGCGTTGTTATAAAAGGAGCACTGGTCTTGGGAGTCCCAGGCTCCAGCATCTTCCAGCTATTTCTCGGAGTAAATTTACATAACTTCTTTTCACTTCAGTTCCTTAACTATAAATGGGCTTTTAATATATCCCTGATCTATCAGAAGATTACTATGACAATTAAATATATAACTCAAATGCAATCTGTAAACTACAAAAAGCTATAAATTATGAACAAAGTATTTACATACATATTGTGACATGTTCTGTCCATTAGAGGCCTACGGGTACAATGTAATTGCTCTTTCACCCTCATTTGAATGACTAAAGGAAGGACCAAATATTCATTTGAAAAGGATAATTACCATTCTATTTTAATATCAGTTCACAATGCCCTACTTGAGGGCTTTAAAAAAAAACAAAACTAGAATTATGTATTAATCATCTCTGCAACCTGAGAGCCAGCACAGTCCTAGGGCACAAATAATGAATGAATGGATATCCAATATGGTATGCCTATTGGATTTCTGCACATACTTGCCTACTTCTGTGGATAAAATACACACTTCAATCGCTGTGAAGTCCCTGAGTTTTTCCAACCCTTGCTCAGATTTATACATCTTAATTTGGCTATGCAATTTTAAAATACAACTTGCAAAATATTACCTGCTAAAAACATTAAATAGCTTCATAGGAAAAGTATAATCCTCCGGCAAAAAATTTAAACATTTTCCGTGGTTTCACAAATATACAAATTTTTATCTCATTCAGAAGTCAGTGTAGAGCTGACTTCTGAATGAGAAGCACAGAATCAAACTTCTATTCTAACAGAAGAATATTAATATCCTAAAGGTATATCAAATAATTGTAGGTGAAATTTACTTGAGTGGATTACTTTAGTCAGTGCTCTGGACTGTTCTAGCACACTCTGCTTTATTAAAGAATTAGTCTGAGGATCTCTAGCATAACATCCTGATTTATAATAAAAGCTAACTTGAAGACTTATGAATTATATAACTAGAGAACAGAAAATGGATCAGATACATTTTTTACATGTCTCTATGTTGCAAACGGCCTAATAACTTGGCCATAAATAAAATAGGCAATTTATATTGTGCTTGAGAGAACACACTTAGTGATTTCCGATTCTTGGAGATAAAATGGGAAATTCGATTATTATCTCTATTAGAAGATGAAGCTACATCCACCCTCTTAAGAGTTAGGGGAGATAACACAGTTCGGAAGGTGCTGGAGTTTATCAGTCAGCTGAGATGTGTTTGGACACAGGAAATTGTATTTCCTTTTGGGCTAAATAAATGGTAATATTGTGAGATCCAGAGTCATACGCTAACTCCTGTTATTTGTCAGCAAGGCAGTGCCTGCTAAGAAATGCTCCCAGACAGACCCTGGTGATTCTGCTAACTGTCACATCAATTTTCATTTCTTTTATTTTTAAATGACACATCATGACACTGTCAAGAAAGGAAGAGGTTCCTGAATCGAAATAAATGTTACTGGACATAAAAGGAAACAATGGTTCTGTGTTCTACTCTCTCCCCCAGACCCTCATGCCCCCAGGATAAATGCTTTGAACTTTTATGTAGAAAACATCTTTTACACCCCTCCAACAAGCCTGCCTTCAGGAAGCGGTGTCACTGTTGGTTTATTCAAACTGAAAAAAAGCAAGTAAACCACTTCTGGGTGCTCCACAACCCATGGCATCACCATGCAAGAAGCAGTTAGATAATCAAAACTAAAACCAATTGACTTTCTATGCTGAGCAAGATGGAGTAAGCCTACTACAGGCTCTCTCTCCTGCTAATCACAACTAACCATCCTGGAAAGAATAAAAAAGCCACTATCTAAGGACTGTGCAAAGTGAAAACTAATAGGCAGATTGGCAGAAAATCAAAATGTGAGGAAAACCCATTACAATAGTGAGCTTCTTATTTATTTTTTCTGCCTCTTTTATCTTCTTAAAGTAACACACACTCACACAAACACAGCCAAAAGCAAAAATAAATGGAGAGATACACCAAGTTCCTGGATTTGAAAAGTGAGTATTGTTAAAATGTCAATTCTCAAATTGATCTGCAGATAAAGTTTAAAAATTTAATCCCAATCAATACCCAAGCAGGATTTTTGTAGATATGAACAAGCTGATCCTAAAGTTTATACGGCAAGCAAAGGAACAAGAATAAACAAAACAATTTAGAAAGGAAAGAACAAAACTGGAGGATTCACACTACCTAATTTTAAGACTCACTCGGAAACTACATTAAGACAATATGATAGTATAGTATTGATAGAAACATAGATCAATAAAGTAGTAGAATCTAAAAATAAACCCACACAATTATGCTCAAAGATTTCTGACAAAGGTAGAAAGGTAGTAGATTTGAGAGAGCATAATATATTCAGCAAATAGTGTGAATCAACTGGAGCGTGCAAATGTAAATAAATAAGCAAACAAGTAAGCAAGATAGATGTCTAAGTTAGTGTGAGATCCACATATTCACTATTGTATATGTGAAATTTGTAAATGTGACGCTCCCACATCCCAAAGGTAGGTGGTCTCCAAACTTTAAAATTGTACACAAGTAAATATGTTGAACAAGGCCCCCAAAATAAAACAAAACAAAAACACAACTGACCATTTCAAGTGCTGCTGATGATGCAGAGCCACTAAAACTCTTACACATTGCAGGTGGGAATACAAATAATCAGCCACTTGGAAAACAGCTGGACAATCTCTTACAAAGTTAACATACATTTGACATACAACCTAGCAATCCCACTCCTGTGTGCAAATGTTCAGAGCAGCTCCTGATACATGCAACATCATCAATGATTTTCAAAGAAAGTTACGTCAAAGAAGGCAGATTCAAAAGAATACATAGTATATGATTCCATTTATATGAAATTTTGGAAAACGTAAAACTATAGGAACAAAGAACAGATGAGTGCTTCTCTGGTATTTGAGGTGCTGGAGCGGTTGACTACAAAGGGACAGCATGAGGAATGATTTTGGGTAGCAGAACCGCTCTGCATCTGAACTGTAGTGGTGGTTACACAACTCTAGGCATTAGTTAACTCACAGGACTATACACCAAAATGAGTGCATTTTTCTGTATGTAAATTTAAAAAACAAATTTAAAAACTGCTTAAACAAGATGAACAAACAAAAAAACCCATGATCTCTAAGGTCAGACACCCCCAGGTTCTTACCCCAGTACTTTCATGTCCATCTGTCATAACCTCGGTTGAGGCGAATGAGTCTCTGTTTCCAACTCAAAAGAAGAAACTGAAGCTAATGAACTTAGGAATTGGGGAAAACAAGAGCTGCTTTGACACCTGGAGGGGGGTGGAGTACAGCGATGCTACAAAATAAGTCATCTCCATGCATACCAGGGGACACATGGCCCCATCAGGATGCACTAATAAGATTACCACTAAATGGTCATAGTTTCACAATTCCCCACGTGTACAATCAGGCAGCTGGACTAGGTAGTTTCCAACTCCACCCCTAGGAATAAAACAATTCCATTCTAAGAAATGCTTTGCCACCCCTGTGTTCAAATGCATCTCGCCATTTCAAAATCTTCTAAACATCTAAAGTACTTTCATAATTGTTTCTTGCTGTCTTTGTAATTCATTCCCAATACCAAGATTCAAACTCTTCCTGTTACTTTGGTTTAGTGTTCTACAAAATATATGGTATGAAATAATTTGTGTATGTGTTTATTATCTTTTTTAACTTTATTATTTTGTGAACTTCCTATTCTTGCTCTATGAACACTTTTCTGTTTACCTCCTGTTACTGTATATTTGATAGGTGGATATCAATCTACATAAAACATTTTATTATTTTGCTGTTTCCTTTTAAAGTTATTCTTATAATTAGTTTAACTTTATAGTTTAAAACAAACAAAAAATATCAATAGTTCAGAGGGCTTCTGTATACTTTTCACACAGCCTCCTCTAAGATTAACATTTTGCATAATTATAGAACAATATCAAACTAGGATATTAACATTAATATAATACTATTTACTAGACTACAGACCTTATTAGAATATCACCTGTTTATTCACTAATGTTCTTTTCCTGTTCCAGGATCCAGTCCAAGATCCCACCATGTATTTAGTTTTTCTGTTCCTTAGCATCCATCAATCTGTGAGAGTTCCTCAATCTTTCCTTGTCTTTGATGACGTAATGCTTTCGAAGAGTACTGCTCAGTTATCTTGTTGAATGTCTCTCAATTTGAGCTTGTCTGATGTGTTTATGATGAGACTGAGTTTATACAGTTTTGGCCAGAATATCACCAAAGAAACACTGTATCCATCATATAACGGGTACATGATGTCAAGACGTCTTATTACTGGTGAGGATATTAATCTTGAACAGTTGGTTAATGTAGTACCTGCCCCGTTTCTCCACTGTGAAGTTACTATTTTCCCTT